AGGATTGTATGCACTCCTAATAAGGCACTTATGCGGGATAGTGACTTCTCACCATCCTCCCTCTTCATGTCGATCAAACTATGTCTATCAAAGCCATAACTACAAAACAGTCTACTCACCATGAATAGCACCGTCGAGCCATGATCAACCAAATAACAAGACAACACCCTACTCTCAATTCATGAATGTATGAGCCACACATACACACACAAAAGGAAAAAAATCGGCTTTGAGAACAAAGACTAAACATGCAGACTGACTATTAATAATCACTAATAATACAATCTATATTTATATATGTTTGACTGTTTCTGCTGCATGCCTCAACCATCTCACTCCCATCAATCACTGATATACACAAAATATTGAAATAATTTCAATCCAACTCCATGCTCCTGGGATATCTTCTGTTTGTTTATTATTACGTCTTTTTTTCAGGAGTTGTGTATGATTTATATGTTTTCACTGATGGCGTACTGTATTCAAATATTAAACATTACAAACAAACTCATGTTCATAATTGTTTTTTGTAGTTTGTACAAATGGTTTTCAAATGTATCAGTGGTTTGATCGGACACACGCTAAAACAAATACTGAAAGTGTCTCTACCCTTAGATTCCACTTCTCAAGTGTAATTTTAAAAAGATTGTTTTCAAATATAAAACAATAATTGTATGGCGAAATAAATAACCATAGCCAGTCTGTCTGGTTCTAACGTTATTGTGAATAACACGTTGGCTTAGTAAATCGAGCAGCAGATGTTCGTTGAAACCCGGTCAGCACGATATAATCACATAAACCATTGTCGATATTGGAAAACTATGCTTTGATTGACGGATTGAGTGTGACCTGTAGCCATATTTCGCTGTTTTTTATGATGTACAATAAGAAGCTACCGAAACTGTTTTTAAAGTAAGAAATGTTAGGTCTAAAACAATTTTCTTCTTTGCGCTAAGGGGGGGGGGCGATTGGCGGAATGTGAAACAGATGCTGTGCCCCCCGTAATCAGTTATATTGAATCGTATAGTGCAACCTGCAATCACTGATACAAGTCCCAATAATGCAACCTATATAGAGAACTATTTATGGAAATTTAATTGGCAAGACATATTAACATAATTATAATAATATATTTCAGGGTTAATTTTGGACTGTTAAATAGTTATTGTAGTATCCATCCATTGTTCTAGTGATGGTCAGTGTATACACGAATCTTCTGTCAAATAATGAAAGTTTTGGAATAGTGTGTGTGGGCGCTATACAATTTTTACCAGATCTGCTCACGTACAATAGATATTTTGGAATATAGAATATATATTCTAGAGATGTGAGTAATGTGTTTTAATCCAAGCAATATATCCTTCAAGGTATATTCATGGCTATTCGCCTATTGTATATCATCAATGTATCATTATTTGTTATATTTTTATAAGAAGTTAGTGTATTGTACGTGTAGATAAGCAAAAAAGCATCTGCAAACCACTATTTTTACTCATGCTTTACTTACAATAGAACCACTGCCGGCTATCATCATCTTTAGTTCAAAACATTGTTTGAAACATGTACGAGCTGAGTAACCCACACATAAACTCCAAGTTGGAAACCACTAAAATATGGGGACAACTGCCAAGCAAGTCCACTTCCCAACACAATTGCAGGTTTAATCCAACTATATAGGCTATCAATCAGTCTCTTATTATTAATTACATTACAACCTCAATAGAACAAACACATGAGTAGCAAAACACAAGCATTATCCTAGCACATAGTTCAATGTTGAACAGCAATAATATCATCGGCAACAATATCCTTTGAGAAATACAATTATAATGAAAAACAAGATATTTGTGAAGGAGTTGTGTTAAGACATGACATCTGTTTACTACAGGCAGCTGGAACATCCCTGATTCTGCATTTTCCTACAATAGCTAGACACTTCAGTCCGTCTTGGAGCACACACGTAGATTTTTAGACAGACCACAA